TATTTCACAAAAGCAAAAAAAAAAAAAAAACACGCGAAAAAAAGGAAAAAAAAAAAAAAAAAAAAAAAAAAAAAAAAAAAAAAAAAAAAAAAAAAAAAAAGCAAGGCATGAACATACCTCGATTTGGTAAGTTCAAATAGTTGACACCTTTAGTCTTGAACTCAATAATGAATCGCTTTGGCATCGCACCATGGGAAGCAGGTTTGGCTTCAGCTATCAGCAGGTCGACATAACCATTGGCTTGCTGCACTTTCTGGCCATAAACACTGATGGTAGGCACTTCGACTTCTGTATCACTGAGATAGCGTGGAATTGTTGAGAGGGAAGAATGGAACAACATTTTTGTGACCAATTCATTATCGCTCCTGAGGTTTCCTTGTTTGATCATGTTCTTCAAGCACTCCTCAAGATAGTAGCATAGCGAGCTGATGTTGTCATTGGCAACAAGATCATTGACAGCATCTTTAAAAACATGTGAACTTGTGCAAATATGGCAGAGTTGAATAATGCACTCGATGATTGTCTTAGTAACAATGACATTTGGCATGCAAAGGAAGCCTGGTTTGTCTGCAAAGGTTAATGCCCCAGCATAAAAAAGAAATGACTGCAGAGACAGGTTGCTTTGGCTTCGATTGTCGATAAGATCTGCTAGGCAAAGACTTGCTTGAATTTCAGTGTGGTGGAATGGCATCTCATTGTTCTCCAACAGTTGAGCAAGCAACGGAATTGAATCAGGGTGGTTCCCAATAAACATCAGCAAACTTTTGCTTAACTCGTTGTTGGGATCGACAAGTGGAATTGGGTAGTTCATTAACAGCTGCTGCAAATAGTCCAAGCACAAATTGGTGGAATAAATCCCGTCATCTTTAGTCGTTCGAAATTTGTATCCATTGTAATACTGGCGCATCCGATCAACATGAGTGTCGATAGAATTCTGATTTACTTCTTCATTCATTTCCTCTTTGCTTGAGAAAATAAACTCGAGACCGCGTCATATATCTTTCTCATAGAGTCCCAACATGTGTTCATATTTTGGTATCAGGGAAATATCAAATCGAATGTTGAATCCACTGGTAACGTCATTCATCGAAAGTGGAGACACCCCTTTAAAGAGCAAAGTGCATGGACATTAAGAAATGATGCAACCCATTGTACTAATTGAATGTGAACATACCAGTTATGAAAACCCGGGATATTTCCTTGCTGCAGTGATCCTTGATGGTCCCAAAGACAGCTTTCATGAGACTCTGCTTGTCACGGAGCTGCTGATATGAAAGGATGTCAGCAGGGTCGAGGAACTCATTGGTGATTGCATCATATTCGTCAATCAGGAGGTAGACCTAACAACGAAGAAACCTGGATTGTTAGCCAATACAGAATACAAGCACAACGTTTAACAGATTACCTTATACGGAGTGAGTCGAACTTGATCAAAAAGTGCTTCGAGAGAATCAGTACAATTAGTTGGATTAACAATCCATTTTTGAAGATCTTCATTGCTCTTTCCCAATATAGCTGCATACGTCTGACAGAAACGTTTAATCGATCTGTTGATGTGATCTGTGAGATTTCGGTTTGTTTCTTCGATGCTCGAAGACCTTAATTAAATTGTGAATAAACGTGGTTAGACACACACAACGATAGCCATCAATAAAGTATACTCAGCAGAAGATACCCCTGGATTTTAGAGAAATCCCACTCGAGAGTAAGGAATTTGTTGTGCTGCAGTTCAGAGGCATGCTTGTAGATATCGAGCGAGCCAAACAGCCTATCGAAATTCGGAGTCTCATTGATGTCGTAAAAATGTTTGAGCATAGACAACAACAGTGATTTGCCGAATCGCTTTGGTCGCAAGAACATCAAGACATCTTGATCTTTCTCGATATCTTTGATATATTTTGTTTTGTCAGCATAGAAAAAGCCTCGGTCCATCAATGTCTTGAAATTGGAAACAGAGTTCACGGGAAAGCCAGTGGTTTTCTGCCGATTTGGTGGCTTGAGGCTGAACTCTAGCTCTCTTTTGGCAGGGATGTGCAAAAACTCTAACAATGTTACCAAGAGGACACAAGTTAGAAATAGGAAGCTGGAAAAAAAAAGACATTTGAATGCCGTACCTCGAGGAGCCACCACAGGTGCTGGTAGCAAAGCTAGCGCAAGCATTAAAAATAAGAGCAGGTTCAATGTATCACAATTAGCAAGGTAAAAAATAAAAATAAAAAATAAACCAGATAACACATTGTTGTTTGCTCACTCACCAAGTGGCGATTCAATGATAACATGGATGTGCTCTTTGACAGGTGCTGTCGGGAAATAGGTTGATAGATCTTTTACTGGGAGTAGCTTTTGTATGTTCTTTTCAGTATTATGCTCCAGTACAAGCTGTTTGAGTGCTTCATCAATGCCGCTATCAATGGGAAGAGATACTTTCCAGAGAGAGAGTCGATTGGCAGGGATACTGTCAAATATAGGCCGCTTTTTTCTTTTGATCGCGTCTTTGAGAATGGCGACAGGTTTGGTATTTCGAACCTCAACTGCGAATACACAGTCGGCAGGAGGAGCTTCACCGCGAACTAGACAGTTCAGTAATATGCTGTCAGACATGTGCGAAACTTCTGCGCTGAGCTTGGGTTTTGGCGAAAGTTGCCTGGTGACTTTGCCTGTAAAGGCTGGGCGTTTTGAGATCGACGTATGTGGTTGCTTATGTAGATTGAACCCAGTTCGGGCAACTTTCTAAACAAGAACCCGAGCAGAATAGTTGGAATGAATAACGCATTAAAGTATATGTTAACAGCACGGATAAGTGTTTGTTGAGACCCACAATGTAGTTTAATCGGGCGCAGAGAATCTGTCGAGCACAAGAGCTCATTGGTGCCTTGTTGTAGTTCTGCGCTTTGCCTGAATAAAAGATGCAAAAAGATAAAACCGTGGAGGTCGTTTAATTGTACTCACAGGTTGCGCGTTTCTTTGGTAAAATTGAATTAGGCTCGCTCGTCGACTGCGGATACAATAAGGGCGGGCTCTAGACGGAACCGAAATTAAAATTCCCAGAAGACGTGGAACGTGTCAATCCACTTAATTCAATCCTCACAGCTGTTATTAACTCAGTGTGGGTGTGTGTGGGCGTTTGCAGTAAATCTGTTAGCGTGAACTTGTATTGGTAAGGGTTTGGTATTCTGAAATTTTTTTGACAAACAAAAAGCTGAGAGTATTACGTCATCAAAAATCGCTGAGCCACTTGTTCACTTTGTCTTATATATCAAGTTAGTTATTTTTGGCAATTCTTTTTTAATGGGCAAATGTTTTGTCAATTCACCAATTGTCATAATATCTTTAGCAGTTACATAAACCCTAGATTGGATGTATTTATGTTTGTATTACCAAATTGGCGAATAAAGAAAACAAGGTTTTATGCACATCTAAAATCTTATTGCTAACCTTAGGTTTGGTAGCAGCGAGGTTACGTCTTCCATTTATACGCTCACACCATATACGTCCGCAAAATGGATGCCAAACAGTTTGCTAATTTACGAACGCGTTTACTGCTGCTATAAACGCATTGCCAGTTGCCGCTCCTCTCGCAGCACCCAAAATTGCTATTAAGATTTCCCAGTATAAAGGAGAACCAAGAGAGAATGTTATGATCTGGAATCAACCATTCGAGGCGTTTTACCATTTATTACACCAGAAGTCTTTCATACTTGCAAATTTATTCAGAAATTAGACTTTCGATATTATAGAAAACGATTTCAGATGACGGACCGACCATCAGCAATAAGTCCCTTCAGACTCTTCCATTCTTATACCACCTCTATTGACAAACTAATTAAAATTTTTTTCTTCTTCTTCTTCTTCTTCTTCTTCTTCTTTCATAAGCGTAAAAAACGGAGTTTTAGTTCTTGTTTCTGTTTTCTTCTAGACAGGTTTGTAGCCCAGTATCGCTTAATTCTTATAGGGACGGTTTTCTAAGCTGTCGACGCGAGCTTCCAAGCTGCCCAATTTCTAGATTGAGTGAGACGTTTAAAATTAGGAATTGTGTACTTATATTAGGGAATGATCATCAAATAACTTTGTATCGCTTACACTTTCGAACGGTTTTTGTCCCTCCCTGACTTCTTTTCTGATATCTTCTCTGACTTCTTCTCTGATTTCACTGATAAGCCAACTTAGTCCAAGCGACCCCCATACGACGACACTATTGATAACAATAATAGCTATGTCCATATTGATGTTATTAGTTCTATTTGGTTTATTATATGTAATAAAAGTTAAACTATTGATATATTCCCTTCTTCCGTTTCGGTAACTTATATGATTCTTAAAGACCGGTTTATATTCGTACATCTAAACTAGCATTATATCACTTCTTCCAATAACGTTTCTACAATAAATATTAATGACTTTCCTTCTTTCGGTAACTTATATTATTTTTCGCTATCCTTTAAAGATCAATTCATATCGTACATCTATTCTAAAATTACAACATTAGAATAAAAGTATCAACATTTCTTTTCCGTTAACAGTTTTCCTATTATACATTATTTCCACAATAACAATTACGGACTATATGGCAAGTGAGGGGGGAAGTACCACTCGTTTGTTGTGAAGATACTCCGTTATGATTGTTGTCTTATGTGTTGCGGCATTGTCGTGATCAGTCACTGGACATTGGAATTGACTTACAAGATCATATAAGGTTACACAAATTTTATTATTTGTTTTGATGTTGAC